GTGTTCAATCTTGACAGTCACCTGCATTCTGAAACACTCTTTCCCTTGGCTTGGTTTTTTATTTTTTTAGGTATCTACCACTCGTTTTCTTCCTCCTATTTGTTTTGTTCTTGCTAATTTATCTTGAGGTTCTCTCTTTTTTTAATTTTTTGGTACTAGAGATTGAACTTGGGGACACTGCATATGCCAAACACACAGTCTACCCCAGCCCTATTCTCTCTTTATAGCCTAATCTGTGTAGACACACACTTTTACCTAAGTACTATCTGTGATTTCCACAGTTACCAGACATACAAACACACAGATAACTGAACTACCTACATTCCCAGATCTCACTCTTGGAGTGCTAGACTTCTATATTCAATTGGTTTTTGGATACCTTCCCTTGGAGATCAGAGATATCCCAAACTGTCTAAATTTAAACTTCTCTCAGCAGCACAGCCATTCATTCTGCAGCTCAACAGACCCAGCAGTCATGCCTGATCCCCACCGCCACTTAGCTTCAGCCAACACATGCAGTCAGTCATCAAGCCCTGATGACTCTAACCCTAACTACTATTACCATCTCAGTCATTGCCATCAAGATCACCTAGGATTACAGACTGCATAGTTACCAGCCAGAAGATGGCACAGCAGGAAAAGGTACTTGCCAACAGGCACGACAACCGGAGTTGATCTGAGTTTGATCCCCAGAACTCACAGTAGAAAGAATAGACTCCTGCAAGCTGTCCTCTGACCTACAGATGAGTGCCCTGGCACCCTCCTACCACTTCCCACAAACAAACAAACAAATAAGTTTTTAGCCAGGTATGCCTTTAATCCCAGAACTTGGGAGGCAGAGGCAGGTGGATCTATGTGAGTCTGAGGCCATCCCGGTCTACATATTGAGTGCTAAGTCAGCTGGGGCTACAGGGAGACCTTGTTTCAACTTAAAAAAAAAAAAAGAAAGCCCAGCATGGTGGCACACGCCTTTAATCCCAGCACTCAGGAGGCAGAGGCAGGCAGATCTCTGTGAGTTCAAGGCCAGCCTGGTCCACATAGTGAGTTCCAGGACAGCTGGGGCTACAGGGAGACCCTGTCTCAAAAAGACCAAAAAAAAAAAAAAAAAAAAAAAAAAATCTCTTAGTTGAGGGGCTGGAGAGATGGCTCTGTGGTTAAGAGCACTCACTGGCTGCTCTTAGGGGACCCGGGTTCAATTCCCAGCACCCACATGGCGGCTAACAACAGTCTGTAACTCCAGTTCCAGGAGCTCTAATACCCTCTTCTGACCTCTGTGGGCACTGCATGACATGGGTGAACTTACATACATGCACATAAAATAAAATAATAAAAATATTTTTTAAAAAATCTCTAGTTGGGGACTGGAGACATGGCTCAGTGGTTAAGAACACTGGTTGTTCTTGAAGAAGACCCAGGTTCAAATCCTAGCACCCACATGGCAGCTAACAACTGTCCCAAACACCGAGCCCAAGCGTCTTTAAAACTAAGTCTTGTGCCAGGCGTGGTGGTGCACGTCTTTAATCCCAGCACTCAGGAGGCAGAGGCAGGCGGATCTCTGTGAGTTCAAGGCCAGCCTGGTCTACATAGTGAGTTCCAGGCCAGCTGAGGCTACTGGGAGACCCTGTCTCAAAAAACGACCAAAAAAAAACAACAACAACAACAAAAAAAAAAACACAACAACAACAACAAAACTAAGTCTTGCTACCTTGCCCAAACTACCTTTCCAGTTCCTAGGGATCTAACAGCCTCTTCTGTCCTCTGCTGGCATTGCACAACACGGGTGCACTTACCTACATGCAGGCAATACAAGCATACACGTAAAATAAAAATAATAAATAAAAATATACTCAAAGACCCTTGCCTCTGCCTCCTGAGTGCTGGAATTAAAGGCATTTACCCAAACACCGAGCCCAAACGTCTTTAAAACTAAGTCTTGCAATCCTTGCCCAAGCTACCTTTCCAACTGCTCAGCTCAAGTAATCATCCCGCTTCAGCCTCCTGAGTAGCTGGGACAAAAGGTACATGCTGGTTAACGGCTGAACTTTTAAAGAGCTTGTTATGGTCTACAAAAGCTTCTTCTTCAGCTCACTAGACAACTGGAATTTTTCAGCTTTTACCTTACAGAACTATAACTGCAATGTGCTGTTCACTGAAAGGTCATTATGTGATATAAAACTATTAGCTAGGTATGACTTTGCCTGAGTTCAATACCCAGTGCTGTCAAATCACAAAAAATGAAAATAAAACAAAGCCAGAAAACTAATACGGAAACATCTACACTAGTCTGGTAGGTCTGGAGTGTAGCTCAGTGGTGAGCTTCTGACTTCAGTTTCCTCAACAACAACATGAGACTCTGAAAACTAAGAGATAATGTGCAAAGTACAAAGTATTTAGAAGAATGCCTATCACTTAGGAAATTCCACATAAGCACTGGCTATTATTACTAATATAGTTTTCCTATATAGTCTTTTTGAGACAGGGTCTCCCTGTAACCCCAGCTGGCCTGGAACTCACAACGTAGACCAGGCTGGCCTTGAACTCACAGAGATCCTCCTGCCTCTGTCTCCCAAGTGCTAGGATTAAAGGGGTGCGCCACCACGCCTGGCCTATATAGTCTTTTTTAAAACTCTCACATTTTGGTGAAACCAGTTTAAAATACAAACTAGCAAATAATAATTTTTTAAAAAGCTACCAAATCACCTTTAAGTAAGGTTTTTCTAGAGTTCTCCAGGCTTCCCTCCAGATTAATCACTGCCTAGGACAACAGAATTATGACTGGTTTAGAGTTTATATTAATCAAGACCTATCCCCTGGATTTGGAGAGAGATTGCCAGATTCACAGTTAGCAAGGTGGTGAGAATGGAGATAAGACAGCCAGTATTGATCAAAACCTATGAGGTTGAGGTCTTTATTAGAGATGTTCAGAGTAAAGCGACCTCTATAGTTGCAAGTTTCTCCAATACAGGGCTAATGAGAGTGGAATCACTACAACGGACTGTTAGAAAAATAGTAAGCTTTAGCATAGCAAAAACAGTATAGGATATGGGCCAGGAAAGTAGACTTAAGAGGCAGTGAAGGGCTGGAGAGATGGCTCAGAGGTTAAAAGTACTGGCTATTCTTGCCAGTATGGTTTCCAGCACCTACCTGGCAGCTAACTGTAATTCCAGTTCTAGAGGCTCTGACGCCCTCTTACGGTCTCTGAGGGCATTGCATACACAGTTGCACCTACATAAATGCAGCAAAACACTCATATACATTAAAAAAAGGCAGTGAAATACAGCAGGTTCTAGGTGAAGGGAGGCTATGTTATAACAAGACCTGTACAGGGCCTAGTCTACCAGCCTTGCACTAATTACCCAATCTTCTCAAAGTTTCATTTATTATAACAGGATTATCCAAACTATCTTGGTCTATATGCTGTGATTAAATACACCCTTACATCAGTTTGATCACTGAAGTTAAACTGGAAAGTCACCTGGCTCTATAGGATTTCTTTCCAGAATTTTAGTCAGGTTTTGTTCTTGCATTGAAGAACTTTCATTGCACAATCTAACAGTAAAATATTTAAGAATCTCTCTCCTGGCTGCTGTTTATTACCTGTGTTATCTTCTGAGATCCTTTCTCAATCTGCAAAAATGAATTTCACTGAGCTTAGTTTTAGTCCTTGTCCTCTGGGGTGCCAGTGTAGCTCTTACCCAGGCCTACCAATCTTAGCACTTCCAGAGGACTGCTGAAACTAGAGTGTTATAGAGGAAGGAGCTGACATATATGACTGGAGGAGGAATAGAATGTCCTATTTTCAGAGCCCCTATTAGGCTCCAAATGCTACATTATCTAATTCAGACTCCAAACACCTCGGCAACAGTGCACCCTTCTTGCCCTTTCTAGAGATAATGAAATCTCAGAAATGGAGGCATGTAACACTTAATACAGACTCTGGTAGGTGCTTTCTATAGGCACCACTGTTTGTCGACGAAGTAACTGGATAAAAGCTAAGAACAGGCAGCTCATGGGCCTGGAGAGATGGCTTGGGGGTTAAAAACACTGGTTGTTCTTGCAGAAGACCAGGGTTCAAATCCCAGCACCCGCATGGCAGCTAACAACTGTCTGTAACTCCAGTTCCAGGGGATCTGACGACCTCCAAGAGCATTGCATGACACGGGTGCAGTTATGTACATGCAGGCAATACACTCATACACATAAAATAAAAATAATATATTAAAAAATTATTTTAAAAAAAGAAGAGGCAACTCAGTTATAATTCCAGGTCTAGGTCTAAAGTCACTGGCAGCTCCAAGGGATAATTTATGTTTCCTCAGGATCAGAGATCACAAAAAATTTCAGAGCCCCATTTAGGCACCACTCCCACGGTGTGTGTGGGGGGGGCAGCAGTTCACTCTGAACTTTTTTCACTTTCCTTCAGCCTAAAGATCGCAAACTGAGAGCAAACAAAACGCACCTTGACAACTTTATGTAGGGTTAAAAAGCTTTCTCTCCCTCTTCCAGTCCACCACTAGAGGGCCAGGCCACAAAAAGCAGCAGTTAACTACTCAGGAGTGATTACCCTGGGTTAGTCAAGTCACTCACTGTGTGACCTTGGGTAAGTTGCTTTACCACTCTATGCCTCAGTTTTCCTATCTGTAAAACAGGAACAGGAGCAGTACCTATCCCATTAGGTTGTTAATGCGGTAAAATAAGGCACGTAATGCCGTCAGAACGCCTGCACATACAGATTAGCAAATGTAAACAGTACTTACTGATGCAGAGAAATGACAAATTCTGGTTTTGTCTTTAATTCAAGGCCTTCATCAATTTGTACTCTCTTGGACAAAGGCCTAGGCATCCAGAGTCCTCTCAAAAAGATCAACAGGTCTCTCTCCTAAGCAGCGCTGGGCCAAAAACCTCAAGTCTCTGACCCGTCGATACCTGGGTCTTGGCCCCTGGTTCCTAACACTAGGAGGGCTGTCACCAGGTCTAACCCAACCATCCCATTTGCTCACCGGCTCGGGAGGGTTCTGGCCTTCAGAAGCCCAAGCTGTCCACGGCCCGAGGGGCCCTGGCGACCCTCCCGGCAGCTCCTTCACCCCAGGACTCCCTCACGGCGTAGGCAGGGAAGGCTTCGCCTGGTCCAGCTCACGGCGTCCCAATGCCCGGGGGAGCGCGCGGCGACGGCGTCCAGGCCCGCGCCCGAAGCCCGCCTCCAGCCCCGCAGCCGGCGCAGGGCGGAGGAGGCCTGCCTGCCCCTCCCCCGACGCGCGGGCTAGGACCCGAGGCCGCCACGTGGGGACCCCTGAGGTGCCAGGCGTCCCCGGAGCCAGCCCCGCATCGGCGCGCGGCCCTCCGCCGGCCGCAAACTGGCCCGCGAGGCACTCCCAACCTGTTTTTCCTTCCCATGACTATCTGGACGCCTCGGACACTGTCTTTAGACAGACGACCGGCCCTTGCCAGACCCCACGCCCCAAAGCTCGGCCCGAACGTGCAGCTGCAGGGCTACCTTACTCACCCATCGCGGCTCCGCTCGCTCAGACTTGGCGGCGGCAGCAGCGATAGCTTCAGCGGCAACTTCAGCAGACAATATGGCGGACCTGCGGGACGGCAGCCTGAAGGGGACAAAATGCTTCACCCGTACCAAACGCGTTCTCAACCTTCACCGCCCCCTTCCTTCCCTAAGATTACTAAATAGGCATGTGTTTAAAGAGAATACAGCCACTAAAAGTGGGGAAAAGGGACGGAACTTGAAAGATGTGGGTGGAGGGAGACCAGGAGGGGTATGTACTAAAGCTGGCCAAGCTCTTAGCTGTTATTTCTTCTTTTCGCTGAGGCCTCCTTCCCCCAAAACTTTTTCTCCAAGAAATTTAGCCCTTCCTTTCATAATTAAGCCCAATTATAGACCCCAAACTGAAGAAGGAATCATCTAGAGATGGGAAGTGATTTGTTCCAGACTACAAAGATAAGGAGAGGAAGAAGTCAAGACTAAATGCAGTGCTAAGATTACAGGTGTGCATCATCACACCCACACAACTAAAACCAGGTTTTTAAAATGTATCTAACACTCAAGCTCTAGTTGAAATTGCAGTATTTTGTTTGTTAAAATAGGGTCTCGGCCAATAAGGTGGCTCACAACTTTAATCCCAGCACTCCAGAGGCCGAGGCAGGCCTGTTCTATGTTGGATTTTTGGAAAATAAAAGGAAAGATAGAGGAGTAGGAGACAAGAAACCTGAGCCAGACCTGCAACAGGCAAGGAATGTTATCTTCCTTTATTCAAAGAAGATACAGTGAGAGGTGGAGGCTGTCCAAGGGAACTAAGCATCTACAACTAGACAAAGAAAATGGGGGTGGGGGTGAGGGTGTTATACCAGGGTTGTAGGACAGTCGCACTTAGTGGGGAGTTGAGTTGGTGTCCTTGGAGTGAGGGTCTCAAGATTATTTCCCCAGAAACTGGCAGGAATGCAATCTATGGCCCTAGAGGAGACAGGTGGACTCAGCAAACACTTTCAGGCTTGGGAGTGACCAACTGATAAGGGATGAGCAGAGCCCGACTTGAGCAAGGCTGGGCTGCCAATTAAGGGCCAGCCAATTAGACACTTTAAGGGATTTAATGAGGCTTTCCCTAATGAGGCTTGTGGCTCTTCTGCAATTCACACATTCTATCAGTCTACATATCAAGTTCCAGACCAGCTGGGGTACAGGGAGACCTTGTCTCAAAGCAAGCAAACAAACGAAACCACAAAAACAAAAAACCAGGGTCTCTTAACTCTCCATCTTCTGGTCCTTAACAGCCCCAGTGCTGAGATTACAGATGTGTACTACAACAACCTGAGATTACAGCCTTACTGTTTAAAAATCGAAAATTTGTGAGTGGTGGTGCATGACTTTAATACCAGCTCTCAGGAGGCAGAGGCAGGCAGATCTCTGGGAGAGGGAGGCCAGCCAGGTAAGTTCCAGGCTTGCTGGGGCTACAGGGAAACCATGTCTCTAAAAGATCATAAATAAAAATAAGTTAATTTAAAAAAATAAAAATAGCTGGGCATGGTGGCACATGCCTTTAATCCCAACACTTGGGAGACAGAGGCAGGCGGATCTCTGTGAGTTTGAGGCCAGCCTGGTCTCCATAGTGAATCCAGGACAGCTGGAGCTACAGGGAGACCCTGTCTCAAAAAAGACCAAAATAATAATAATAAAAATAGAAAAATCGGGCCCGGCATGGTGGTACATGCCTTTAATCCCAGCAATCGGGAGGCAGAGGCAGGCAGATCTCTGTGAGTTCAAGGCCAGCCTGGTCTACATAGTGAGTTCCAGGACAGCTGGGGCTACAGAAAGACCCTGTCTCAAAAAGACCAAAAAAAAGAAAAAAGAAAAATTGGGACTGGGAGGTATAGTTTCATAAAGGAGAACATACTTAGCATACTTAAGGCCCTGGGTTAGATCCCCAGCACAGAGAGAGAGACAGAGACCACTACAGTATAGTTGACAGAATGGGTCTTCTCAAGCCATTATCCTCTCAGCAAGAGCTTTAAAGACTGAGGTCAGTTTGGTATTGCTTATCACTTTGTCTCTAGCACCTAGCACAGTGTCTGGCTTTTGGCATATCAATGAACGAACAAACAAATGAACAGAACCATGAGTTACAGAGCAAGAGGTGTGAGCTCCTGTTTTAGTGGTGAAGGAAATTAAGGCTCCAAGCGTTCATGTAGTCTTTGAGTCAAGGAGTTTCTGGCTGATACCTGTTAAGCCTCCCTTTTTGTATAGTAGCTTACCAGTTTTCTACCTCAACACAACAGAACTGGATTATGTCAAGTCACTACTCTATCTTTTGGAAACAGAATGAAGAATCTTGCATCTGGTCCTCAGGGTCTGTCACAACTCTACCTAACTGCCTGACTCATTAAAGGAAACAACTCAAAAGCCAAATTCTTTGACTCAAGTTTAGGAAAGAAACTGCTCTTTACCTTCCTGCTGCCACTGCTTAGGTCAGGCCTCATCATTCCTAATCTGCTGGTTTGCCTCCTCCTGCCTGATCTTCCCTGCCCCTGCCTCTGTCTTTAAAACTATGGACATTCGGGGCCAGTGCGATGGACCAACAGGCATGCTTCCCGCCCAAGCCTGATGACCTGAATTCAATCCCACGACTCTCTCTGTTGGGAGAAAACTGACTCCTGGAAGTTGTTCTCTGGCCTCCACACGTGCTGTGACATGGACCTGTCTGCACTCATACACACACATAATAATGTCACTCTTGAACTTAGCTACTTTCTACGGCTTGCTTGCTCTTAGGAATGCCCTAACATTTCAGTCTGGTACACAGGCTGGTCCTTACCAGATTTTTAGGTCCCTCCCTACAAGGAAATTCAAGTTCCAGCCACGTTTGAGGAACCCTTTTTCCTAAGCAGGCCCCTGTCGCCCTAGTATCTTCGCATCTGCTGTTCCCTTGACCCTGTCATGAACTGTCCAAGATCAAATTCAAAGCGCTAGGTATGGTGGTACAAGTTTTTAATCCCAGCACTCTCAGTGGCAGAGGCCTGCAGATCTCTGTATATTGGAGGCCAAAACCAAAAACCAAATAAAAACAATTCAAAGGCTGAGCATGGAGGTGCACTCCTTTAATCCCAGCACTCAGAGGAGGTAGAGGCAGGCAGATCTCTGAGTTAGAGAGCAGCCTAGTCCATAGTGAGTTCCAGGACAGTTGGGGCAGCTAACAATCATTTGTTAACTCCAATTCCAGGGGATCTGATGTCCTCTTCTGACCTCCTTGGGCACTGAAGGACACAGGTACACTTACATACATGCAGGTAATACATGCATACACAGAAATAAACAACAAAAAAATCCCAGGGCTGAAGAGATGGCTCAGCAGTTAAAAGAGATGGCTGGCTGCTCTGGTAGAGGACCTGGGTTCATTTCTCAGCACCCCCATGTTGGCTAACAACTGTCTAAATTTATAGTTCCAAGGGATCTGATGCCCTTTCCTGACCTCGGGCACTGCAGGACACAGATGCGCTTACATACATGCAGGCAATACACTCATACACATAAAGGAAAAAATAATAAAATATTTAAAAAGACCAACAAAATAAACCAGTTCAATCATCACCTCTTCAGAGAAGCCAGTCTTTCCAATCAGGGGATCTGTCCTCTCTGCTCCCACAGCAGTAGCCTGTTTTCCTTGGTACTTCACACCGATTCACTCACAAGATACATTCATTTCTCCCTATCATCTAAGGGATGAGGTCTGTCTACCTGTGCAGCTATCCTAGGGTTTGGACTGTGTATATCCCCCATCCACCACCAAGCTTATCTGCATACCCTGTGGCCAAAAGGAGAGAGAATGCTGTCTGCATCCCTTCTTTTGGTCTCACAGCACTCTGTACAATGCATAGAGGACCCAGGTGACCCACCACAGCTGTTTCCATTCGAGATGCTCATAAGGATACCTCCTCCCATCAGCTTCTGTTGCCCTCTATAGCGCCCCTACATTTACTTTGTTCTTCTTCCTGTAGGAGTCATACCCCGTTGCCCTCTCAGAACACACTGGAGTATTGAGACCTTATGTTCCTTTGCTCTCACTGGAACAACTGTCTTCCTCTTGTCCACCTAGGAAGTAACTATCCTATGGGAAGCAGAGAGCGTCAGCATCTTCTCCCCTGTGCTGTGCTTCACACGCATACCAGTCAGTAGCATCACTTATTTCTGTGACCTGGCTTGTACATTGTGCTGAGATAGACAAATTCTAGGACAGCAGTGTCATCTTTTGGACTTTTTTTTATATCCAGCTCTACTACTCTGTAGTTGTGTTACCACAGCAAGTCACTAGAGTGCTCTGAGTTTCAGTTCACCTGTGGGCTCACATTTTCCTAGGGTTGTCAAAATGAGGCTAACGACGCTAGAAGTACAGTCAGCAGCATCTGGCATACAATGGACATTCAGTTAGCAGCACAAGTATGGCTCCCATGGCCTCTGGTATCTTATCCCCCAGCCACTGGAGAAGGTAGAGCCCACAGAAGCCACATGTGGAGTGGTCCAGCCCAGAATTCTACACTTTTGATAGGCAGGGACAAGGAAAAGGACCACAGGACACAGACTGTTGGGAATATAAAAATAAGACTTTTCTTTTTCCTTTTATCACATCAATTATCAAAGAAAGAAACAGTATGTAACAAAAATACAAAGCTCTGGTCTGGTGGATTTTTTTTGTCTTTTTTTTTTTTTAACCCCACCCCCAGCCCGCCTCAACAGCCCCTGGGTGAAGCCTGGATGCTGTGCCCAGGTGATCCCAAAGGCTCAGGAGAACCGGTGGTCCAGGTCTCTCTGGGGGCTGGCCGAGTATGAGTAGGCTTTGCCCAGTACCAGGCGGTCCCGGAGCAGCTTGAAAAAGGCGTAGTAGTTGCTGAAGAGGATGAGGGCCAGTGAGATGGTCTGGTGCCACTTTTCAGAGGACATTAAGGAGTACAGCTGGTAGACAATGACAGCGCCCTCTAGCAGCAAGAGGATGTTGAGGATTCTCAGGGGATTGCTGAAAAAGAACTACCCAGGAAAGGCTATACTTCAGAAGCCTGCTTCTTGGACAAGGGTGTCTTGGTGCATGACCAGGGAAGGGGACAAGCTCTTGGGGCCCCATGCAGACTTGGGTGGAAGGAAGACTGTAGGGTGGGTGTGGCCTCTGCCTCATGTCTTTGCTTGTGCTCTTCTACCTGAAAAGGAGCTGCTTCCACATAAGTTGTTTAAGATTCTTCCAAAAAGCCTTTCTGGAGAGTGCTTACCATTTCAAACTCTTTCTACAATCACCTTCTTTTTATATGTCATCTGGAGTATTCTTGGGCTTGAACAGATTAGAATCAAGCACCCTCTTTTTTTTTCAGTGCTAGAGATTGAACCCAGACTTTCCATGTGCAACAATCTTTACTCCAGCAAATCTTATGTCATCAGCATGGAAACCCATTGATTTACTTTTAGTTGCTAGGTGTCAAAAGCATGGAATTACACTCTACAGCCTAAGCACCTACCACTTCCTTTGCAGCATCCTGACCTAGACTGGAAGCTTCCAGGGGACATGACAACACTCTTACAAGGTGTTTCAAAGGGAAACAGAATATAGACCTCAATTTTCTCCTAAGTTCAAGAGCACTCAATGTCTAGGGATATCAATTTGCAGGGGCCAAAGTACCTAAACCTCAAGAACTGCTTACAGGATGGAAGGAGGGGTAACAGGAAATGGTAGTTCAAGAGAGCCGGATGCCAGGCTCAAGCCTGTACTAACAGGCTGCAAGACTCGGGGCAAGTCCATTCTCTTTAAGAACTAAAGAGAACAGCCCAACCAATGATTTCCCTAACTGTGATCCTTAGGTCCTTAGGAGCTGCAGCAGAGTGATTGAGATGTAAGGGAATTCCAGCCCCTTTGAATAGAGTAGTGTCATGAAGTCCAAAAGTTGGACTTTGGTCTCTATGTTGAAAAAGGGGACCATGACAGTAAAATAAGTAAATGGGAGACCATCAGTCTCTTTGACTTTGAGCAACCCTTTTCCATAGTGTTGACTCATGCCATTTGTATTAGTTCCCAAGTTTCTCAATAAGGCACCCTTAAAGAAGTTAAACAATGCCTGGCACACAGCATGAGATGATCAATATTATTTTCACTGCTAAGATCTCCTCTAAATGGAGGAGTTGTAAGATCTTCTCCCCCTCCATCTAGTGCTCTGAAAGATCTGCCACCAGGGGAGCTGCAGTCATGCCAATCTGTGTGGCTGTCCTGTGCTGCATGTGTGCACGGTCTTCCTCTGGCTTTCAGAACAGTGAAAACAGCCATCATCTTCCTGCCTGCTACTCCCACCCACCCCCTTCAGGCCCCACCCTCCTTCCCAGAAAAGGACACTCACGTGGAACCGGAAGTGGGAGACATCAGAGGGGATGGCTACGTTGTAGTGGCCCACTGCTTTGTAGACATTCTTGCTGTGTTTCACCAGCACACCCTGTGGCCACATGCATTCTTCTGTCCACCTGGAGGCACAGTTCAAGAGTATACATTGCCCTCAGCTCACCCATAAAAATGGATACCAGATGATGGGTAAAGGGTGATCACTAAGGCTCTACTCCCATTTCTACCACTCTGACACAGTGCCTCCTTTTCTGAGTATCGGCTGCCTCCTCTGTAAAATGGGGTAACAACCATAAGCAATTCACTGTGCTAGGAATCACAAGTCTAGGGCTGAGGAACTGTCAAGAAAAGCCTTCTTTCTCCCTGTCTATCTGTCCCACCTATAACCTCCCATGGGTCTACCACACAGCTGTTTGGGTGGATTCTAAAGCACTAGGATGAGCCTAACCATGCTATTTAAAATGTGCTGGGGCTATTTTATAGCACTTCCTGGACTTGACATGACCTCTTGCCCACGCTCCTGTATGGCTTCCCTGACTCCCACTGCACTGCTTATAGCTCTGCCTGACTTTCCTGATGGCTTATCCCTTTAGCAGGCTCCTCCTTGTCTTTTAAAACCTAGGCGTGTCCAGTTCATGCCTGTGTCCTCAGAGCATGATACAAAGTCTGGCACTGGGAGGCCGAATGAGACCAGTGAGTAGAGTTTTCTTCCAATGTCCTATGAGATTCTAGAGACCTCAATGTCTGGAGCCAGAGACTGAGAACTACAGGTGCAAGCAGCTCTCATCTAAGGATACCCCTGCTTCATTAATTCACTGACTTAAGAGCTGGCTGTGTTACACACAAGTATACAAAATGAAATATGCTGGACACAGGACTATCTACTTATAATTTCATTTATATAGAGTTCTAGAATAGGTAAACTAAATACTACATATGATCTCATTTATATGAAGGGAAAAACAATCTACGGTGAAATAAAGGCAGTTACTTTTTGTGTGTGTTGGGGGTGTCACTGGGAAAAACTATGCAGACGTTTTCTATGAGGGTAGGTTATATAGGCATCTATGCCTTTCTTAAAACCCAAATAATTGCTGTGGTGGTGCACACCTTTAATCCAGCACTCAGGAGGCAGAGGCAGGCAGATCTCTGTAAGATAGAGGTCAGCCTGGTCTGCATAGTGAGTTCTAGGCCAACTGGGGCTACAAGGAGACACTGTCTCAAAAAAACCAAAAATAAAAAATTTTTAAAGTTCCAAACCAAAAACTTCAAGTAATTGTAGAATTTTTAATTTGCATATTTCACTCTATGTAAATTTTATTAAAAAAAAAAAAGTGGGGCTGGAGAGATGGCTCAGTGGTTGAAAACACTTGACTGCTCTTGCAGAGGACCTGGGTTCAATTCCCAGAATCCACGGGACCTGTCACCCTCTTCTAACCTCCTCGGGCATTCACACACATATAGGCAACACACTCATACACATGAAATAAAAATAATTTAAAACTTCTTGAAAAAAAAAAAAGTACAAAACCCACAAAAATATTTGCAGGGCACTCAACATAAGCCAGGCACTGTGATGGGAGGAGGCAGATAGCTGAGTGCCACACAGGCAAGTGCAGCAATCTCAAGGAGCTTTTGGTCCTGGAATGAGCAGCAGGAGACACAGGAAACAGCAGAAGCTAGTGAGTGAAGGGCAGGGTACAGGGCACTGTGCCCTTCTAGGGGGTCAGGAAGAGTGTTCTTAGATAAGCAGGGTGCTAAAGGGCGGGTGGGAAAGGACAGAACCAGGAGCTAGGAAAGGAGGGCAGAGAGGATTTTCCAAGCAAAACCTAGCTCATGGGGGAGGCAGAACAAGGGGGTGCATAAAACACATGAGGACCCCAAGAGCTTTGGTCTGGCTAGAGGCAGAGGATGACATGGAGTTCAGTGAGAGAAGAGGGGCTCACAGGGCTTGCCTCAGCAGCTAGGAAGTCATGCAAAGCTTTGATCCCATCTGAGGTCCTCAGTGAGCTACAGACAGACTGGTTTATCCTCACATTCAGCTGAGTTCTCTTTCTACTCCTCCCTCCCTCTGGGGCCTGATGCTAAGCCCAGCCCTCTTTTTGGCCCATTCCTAAGATCAGTCACTCTGCTGAACTGCCTACACAGCATGGAGAGGATCCTGATTGACAACCCAAGGTTTTTGCCTGTGGCGTCCATTTGCATTTTTTGAACCTGTCCTAGGGGCCTCCTCTTGGCCAGGCCCTATTTTGGGCCTGAGACTCAGATATGATTCAGAGATGGTCCTAGCCTTCAGAGCTTCCAGTCTAATGAGAGAATACTTAGTATAGCTGAGGCAAAAAGCACTCAGCTAAAGTGCTGTGGAAGTATTGAGCACCATCACAGAACGATCGAGGTTAAAGGAAGGTCTGAGCAGCAACTTAGGGCTCCTGTGAGGGAGATCCCTGCTTCTGCTCTAGATATACAGCACTAGCCTCAGCTGGGCCTTCTGCCTTACTCATCTAATTACTGTTTATATGACTATCTTCCCCCATTACTCTGTGAACTTGTTAAGGATTTCATCGGCTTTCCTCCTGCATCCCTCCTTCCCTCCGTGGATAGTCTTCACCATACGCAAAAGCAGCACCACATCCTGTCTCAACCTAGGTTTCTAAAGCACACCTTGGAAGAAGTCCTTCTACCGTTCAGAGGCTTCAAGGGCTCCCCTCAACCTATAGATCAAAAAGCAAGCTCCTTTCCCTGATATAGATTATCAAGGCTGGTTTGGATTAGATGGAAGTGTCTGTCTACTGAAGGAACAGGCAACCTAATGGTGGAGGGGTGAAGTGAGCAGGTGAGAAGAGGGATGTGATGAATGAATGCATGAATGCATGGATGCATATATAAACAAGTCAGTCAGCTAGCCAGCAAGTGGATGAGTGAGTCAGTAAATGAGGAAGTCACTGAGACTGTGCATTACCACCCGTCCCCTCCCCTCCCCTCCCCAGTACACTGCCCCTCTATACATCTGTCCCTGCACTGGACACATGACCTAATAGATAGGACAAGCTTAATAAATATTTGCTGGCTAACTGAAGGAGTTAGTGAACAAGAGGGCAAGTGACCACACACCCTGACCAGGGGGCCCAGGCTTGGTTGGGCAGAGTAGGGAGGGGCAACTCACGGGTGCTGCAGCACGTTGGAGCAAAGCGCTGGGTCCACCTTTTGCCAGCAGCCCAGATGGGCAGCAGCCTTGTGCAGTAGGTCACAGTAGCTGGCAGGGAGCAGATGCTGCATGAGGATAACGGAGGTGCTAATGGACACCAATAGGAAGAGCTCGCAGGACCAACGCTTGTCATAGTAATGTGTATTCTGGGGAGAGTAGGAGAGCAGTCAGGTTTGGGATGGCCATCATGGCCTCATCTCCTCTCCTCCCTGATTCTACCTAGAAGGACAGTACTGAGGACACGTTAGAATTGTCTGAAGCCAACAATTAAACACCTAACAAAGACAGCTTAGATCCTGGGCCTACCAGTCAATTTCCTTCCTGCCCTCTGCTCTGAGTCAGAAGATGCTGTGGAGAGGAATTCCAATCTTGACTCTGCTGTATTTAACTATGTGACTTTAGGCAAATAATTTAACTTGTCTGTGCTTTACTTTCCTCATGAGCTAAACAACAAGGGGAACCATCAATGACAAGGCATTAGAAGGATTTTAGCTAATATGAAAGTTCTAAGGCTGGAGAGATGGTTCAGCAGTTAAGAGCACTGGCTGCTCTTGCAGGGGACCCAAGTTCAGTTTCTAGCACCCATATGGCAGCTAACAACTATCCATAACTCCAGTTCCAGGGGATCGAACACCCTCTTCTGACATCCATAGGTATTGCATGACATGGGTGCACATACATACATGTATATGCATAAAATAATAAAAATAATATTTTTTTTTAAAAAGAAAGTTCTCACCAGGCATGGTGGCACACGCCTTTAATCCCAGCACTCAGGAGGCAGAGGGAGGAGGATCTCTGTGAGTTCAAGGCCAGCCTGGTCTACCTAGTGAGTTCCAGGACAGCTGGGGCTATAGGGAGACCCTGTCTCAAAAAGACCAAAAGAAAAAAAGAGTTCTCAGTAAGCTGTAGGTTCTCAAAAGACGCTGAGTCCTCTCAATCTCCATGTCTGCTTTGGTTTTTTTGTATGAGTGGTTTGCCCCCATGTATGTGTACTAAGTGCCTGCCTGGTGCCCTGGGGGACCAGAAGAGGGAGTGGATACCCTGGATCTGAAGCTATAAGTGCTCATAACTGCCGAGCCATCTCTCCAGCCCCTCAACATCCAATCTTTAAAGTGCAAATGAGCTAGAAAGCTGGCTTGCTGGGTAAAGCTGCCTCGCACCAAGCCTGACAACCTGAGTTCAATCCCCAGGAGAGATTAAACTCTCCATATGGTGGAGAGAACCAACTTCCACAAGCTGTCAGCTGACCTCCACATCTGTGCCTGATGCACAGCTCCCCACAAAATAAATAAATAACAAAGTATATCCTAGAGCAATGTTTCAAATGTACTGCAGCTGAGAAGGTATCTTCCCAGGTGGTTACTAAAGAAGCAGGAGAGAACAAGCTTTAGAGGTCACTCAGATCTGAGTAACTCCTGATTTCTTTCTTTCTTCTTTCTTCCTCCCTCCCTCCCTTCTTTCTTAAAAATATTTTACTTAGCCGGGTGTGGTGGCGCACGCCTTTAATCCCAGCACTTGGGAGGCAGAGGCAGGCAGATCTCTGTGAGTTCAAGGCCAGCCTGGTCTACATAGTGAGTTTCGGGACAGCTTGCGCTACAGGGAGACCCTGCATGTATGTATGGGTGTACATGAGATGCCCACAGAAGCCAGAAGAGGGCAATAGATTCTGATTTCTGGTACTGGAGTTACAGACAGTTGTTAACCACAATGTGAGTACTGGGAACTGAACCCGGGTCATCTGCAAGAAAAGTCACTGTTCTTAACCACTGAGCCATTTCTCCAGCCCCAGACTCCTGGTTTCTTTACTTAATGACAAAGCAGGACACTGTGATATGTCTGTGCCAAAGCAGCTCCCTCATGGGCTGGGAGACCTTGGATAGGTCACTTCCTTTCAGGGAACCGTATTCTCCACATTCTCCTGAAGAGAAATACAATCAAAACTAGCAGAGACAGGGCTGGAGAAATGGCTCAGTTGGTAAAGTGCTTGCTGCACAAACATAAGGACCTGAGTTCTATTCTTTAGAACCCATGTAATAAAGTTGGGTGTGGTAGCATGGCACCTGAAATCCCAGTCCTGGGTAAGCAGAGGTAGGAGGATCCCTGGGTCTAGCCAAATCAGAAGCTCCAGATTCAGTGAGAGACTCTCCCCCAAAACAAGGTAGCTAGCAACCAAGGAAGACACCCAATAGTAATCTATCGTTTCTACCTGCATGTATACGCACATGTATGAACAAACATACATAAACAAACAAACGTATACCAGGAGCAGGAGGCCTGGGGTCGGGGATGGACAGACAGGAAGGACAGGAAGACATTTTCCTTGGGGTGAGCTAGGAGCTATGTACCTTCACAAACCAGACAGGCACAAAGGCCACATAATAGGCACTCAGCATGGAGCTGACAAGCACTTCCTTCATGCGCCAGTTGAAGTCCATTTTGAGGAACTCCACTTCATTGCGAATGAGGCTGGGTGACAGGCAACAGGCATGGGTGGGCATGGCTTCTGGGCCATACAGCTGTCGTGTGTGCTGCTTCCAAGTCTCCCGCAGTGTCAGCAAGTAGTCCCGACTCCTTGCCAGTCCGCTGACTGCCTCTCGGGGCCCCATGGAAGTCATGTGGCTGAAGAGGTTTGTCTTGCGAAGATCATAGTTCAGCTGCAGGAACGGAATGTACATCCCAAACCTGCTAGGAAAGACAGTGGTGAAGACAGGCCTGTCCATGTGTCAGGATCCCAACCCTCAGCCCCAGGGAACTGTGTTACCCTCTGGGCCTCAGCCCTCCTAGATGCTCTGAGGGGAAAATTTACTCATCCTCTTATCCCTCCATCCTCCCATCCAAGAGTTAGTAACTCGAACATGTCTTAACTTTGAGTGCATGTTGGACATTGAAGATATAATAGTAAGAATTAAGTTCTTCCCTGAACAGTAGCCCATATTCACTGGGCACAGCCTGAGATCCAAGCTAAGTCACATGCAAGCTCTTCTTTTCTCTTATATGGACAACAGGCATTAAGTACCATGATTTTTTTTCTTTTGTGGCCAAGGAAGTTATGGGTCAGAGCAGTGCAGTAAATTCTCAAAGGTTATATAATTAGTAAGGAAGAAATAGAGGCAAGGTTCAGACTTAGCTCTGTGTCAGACCAAAGATCAACATAGACACTAAAGGAGCTGGGTATGGTGACACACACTATTAATCCCAGCACTCAGGAAGAGGCAGGCAGATCTCTGTGAGTTCGAGGTCAACCTTGTCTATACAGTGAGTTTCAGGCCAACCAGGACTACAAGTGAGACCTTGTCTCAAACAAAAAAAAGCGGGGGGGGGGGGTTGCTGCTGGAGAGATGGCTCAGTCATTAAGAGCATTGGATGCACTTGCAGAAGACCCAGGTTCAGTTCTCAGCACTAACATAGTGGCTAACAGCTGTTTGGAACTTCAGTTCAAGGGGACCCAACACCCTCGTCAGACCTCCACCAACAGCAGGCATGTACTAGGTGCACTTACATACAAGCAGGTAAAGCAAACATTCATTAACATAAAATAGAAAAAAATTAAAGCTAAGATTGACATGGTGGCACATGCCAGGAACCTCAGAAGTTAAGAGACTGAGGCGGGGAGATGATGAATTCCAGGACAAGGCTGGGGTATACAGTGAGACCTGTCTCAAAAAAATAAAGTGTAACACAGTGCCATAAAGAAGACATCTGTCTAAGTTGTATACATGGGTGTACATGAGATTGCTCTTCAGTTTGCAGAGGAGGGTTTGTTCAGAACAAATGTTTATTCTGTGTCTGTTCTGTGCCAGGCATTGAAATGGACACATCAACACTACAAGTATCTCCCCCTAAGCAGGACCCTTCAAGCAGGGATGGAAACAATTAGTTAAGAGGTCTTTGGAGTGTGGCTGGTACTATGAGGAAAAAACTAGATAGAACCATAACTCAGAAGAATACAATTGGCTCTCTCTGTGGATTCTGAATCTGAAGATTCAACTAGCCACAGATAGAAAAATAACCAGAAAAGAGCCAGGGACATACAGTGAGACTTTTTCTCAAAAAAAAAAAAAAAAAAAAATTCCAGGAAACAGAAAAGTTATTGTTTTCTTTTGTTGTTTTTCTTTCTTTCTTTTTTTTTTTTTAAGACAGGATCTTGCTAAGTAGTCCACGGTTAGCCTCATCCTTAACTTGCTATGTAGCCCAGGCTATTCTCAAACTCAAGATTTTCCTGGTTCTGTTTCCTGAGAGTTGGGAGTACAGGCATGTACCACTATGCCTGGCAAAAATGTTACATTCCTGATGATGTGTTATATATACTTAAGCCAATGATGGTTCCTGACTGTTTCTGTACTGAACATGTACAGTTTTGCCTATCGCATTAGTTTCTCTCTTTTTTTAAAATATTTTATTTATTTTATTTTATATGTATGTGTATTGCCTGCACGTAGGTAAGTACACCCATGTCGTGCAGTGCCCACGGAAGACAGAAGAGGCTGTTGGATCCCCTGGAACTGGAGTTACGGACAGCTGTTAGCTGTCATGTGGGTGCTGCAATTCGAACCTGGATCTTCTGCAAGAACAGACAGTGTTCTTAACCGCTGAGCCATCGCTCCAGTCCCCCAAAGAAGATGTGTCATTTTTAAAACTCAGCATTTTGGCTGTATGTGCACAAGAGAATTAACTCCAAAGTCAAACAAAGTAGATTCAGAAGTCCTGGTGCTGATTACCTGCCTGCCTCTACCTCCTAAGTGCTGGGACTACAGGTGTGCGCCACCACGCCAGGCCCACTTAGCAACTTTTTTTTTTTCCGGTCTTTTTGAAGCAGGGTCTCCCTGTGGCCCCAGCTGTCCTGGAACTCACTATGTAGACCAGGCTTGCCTTGAACTCACAGAGCTCCACCTGCTTCTACCTCTCAAATGTTGGGACTTACAGGCGTGCGCCACCATGCCCAGCTTGAATTAGCAACTTTTTACACAGCATTTACATTGTATTAGGTTTTGAAGTATACAGAGGATGTATATAAATTGTTTGCAATCCCTATGCCCTCTTACATAAGGGACTTGTGCATATTGGATTTTGGCATCTGTGGGATGTCCTGGACTCAATCTTCTGGGGATAAGAAAGGAAGACTATAATTAGAAAAAGTAGCCAGGCATGGCAGTGCACGCCTTTAATCCCAGCACTGGGGAGGTAGAGGCAGGTGAATCTCTGTGAATTCAAGGCCAGCCTGGTCTACATAGTGAGTTCCAGGACAGCTGCTGGGGCTATAGGGAGACCTGTCTCAAAAAGACAAAAAAAAAAAAAAAAAAAAAAAAAAAAAGGGGAAAAAAAGGATTTTAAACATCCAAGAACTCAGCATGTATACACCCCCCCAAATATCCATTATCTAATAATGTACTTTGCAAAATCAGGGAGAAGAGCAAGAAAGAAGACCTGGGATCCAGGAAAAGAGTAGATTCAATCCAGAGGGTAGGAAGGGAAGTCTCAGGCTGAGAGCTGCACTGCCAGCCTACAGAGCAACCACTCCAGACTGGAGCAGGAGGTGGTGGCTGAGTATCTTTGGGTGTGGAGGAAATGGACTCCAGGCAACAGGTAGCATGTTTGAGGGCTGGGTAAACTTGATGTGTTAAAGACCATCCTTCTTTTATCAACAACAAAAAGGAAAGACCATTAGAAACTCAAAAAAAAGTAAAAAGCTACATATATAAGTTATTATCTAAACATGAAGCACACTGAAATGCAGCAGGATCTTAAGCAAGTGACAGAAGAGAAACCATTTGACTCTAACACTAGCAACGTTCTTTCCAAGAGAATAATAGCCCAGTCACCGAAAGCAACGAGTGTTATTTTTGCATACATATTAACGCTACTTACTGGCGCTGACTTTATTTACTTATTTATTTAATCTTTTTGAGACATGGTCTCCCTATAGCCCTAGCTGGCCTGGAACTTGCTATGGAGACCAGGCTGGCCTTGAACTTACAGCAATCTGCTTGCCTCTGCCTCCCAAGTGCTGGGACTAAAGACCTGTGGCACCAGGCCCAGCTGCCTGGCTTTCTTTTAAAATTTTATTTATTTATCAATCATTTGTTTATTTATGTGTACGAGTGTAATGCCTGCTCGTGGGTAGTTACATCTGTGTCATGCAATTTCTTGAGGAGGCCAGAAGAGGGCCTCCCCTGGATCCCCTGGAGTTATATACAGCTGTTAGCCACCATGTGGGTACTAGGATTTGAACCTGAGTTCTCTGAGAGCAATCAGTGCTCTTAATCACTGAACCATCTCTCCAGCCCCTCATTTATTTTTATTTATTTATTTTTTTGTTTTTTTGAGACAGGGTCTCCTTGTAGCCCCAGCTGTCCTGGAACTCATTATGTAGTCCAGGCTGGCCTTGAACTCACAAAGATCTGCCTGCCTCCAGGGCTGGGATTAAAGGCATACATCACCATGCCCAGCTATATAAATCTTTTTTAAAGCCATTCAAAAACACTTAACTAGCCGGGCATGGTGGTGCAGGCCTTTAATCCCAGCACTTGGGAGGCAGAGGCAGGTGGATATTTGTGAGTTCAAGGCCAGCCTGGTCTACATAGTGAGCTCTAGGACAGCTGGGGCTACAGGGAGGCCCTGTTTCAAAAAGACAAAAATAAAACAAAACAAAAAACAAACAAAAAACCCCCATTAACTACTGTTGATGACATAAAGACTTTTTTTTCAATGTCAGGTCTTGAACATGCTAGACAAGTGCTGGACCTCTGCACTACATACATTTATTTTCAATAAACACAATGAATAGGAAATTAAAAGCAAATATAGCTATCAACACTTAGTAACACAGGGAATAAGAGGGTGAGCTACAGTTTTATCTACCACTGTAGGGAATGTACAGGCTTGCTGTGTGAAGTATGCTTATATATGTGCTGAATATTTGTCCAGGATATATGAGAAACCAGTAACACTGGTAATTATTCCTTGGAAGGGAAACTGGATGGCTGGCAGGCAGCAGTCAAGGGTAGACTTTTACACTCTATACCCAAATCTTCAGAACTTTAGTTATATGAACCTATTAACTAGTTTCAAAAATTACTAATTTTTAAAGTAATAAAACAAAAGTATAAAGAATTGGGCTGTGCATGGTGGAGCATGCCTTTAATCCCAGCACTCAGGGGGCAGAGGCAGGCAGAGCTCTATGAATTCTGAGACCAGCCTGGTCTACATAGTGGGTTCCAGGTTGGCTGGGACTACAGGAAGACCTGTCTCAAAAGACAAAACAGAAAATGAATTTATAAAAGAATCATGTGTCTGGAGAGATGCCTCAGCGGGTAAGAGCACTGGCTGCTCTTGCAGAGGACCTGGGTTCAATTCCTAGCACCCACATAGCAGCTAACAACCCTCTGTAACTACAGTTCCAGGGGAATCCAGTGCCCTCTTCTGACCTCTGCTGGCATTGCATGACACAGGTCACCAACCTATCTACATCCAAGCAATATACTCATACGCATAAAATAAATATAATAAAAAAAATAAAAAAGAATCACAGAAGGAGACGGACATGGTGTTGTATTCCTTTAATGCAGCACTTGGGAGGTAGAAGCAGGTAGATCTCTGTAAGTTTAACTTTACAAAGCAAAAGAGATTGCTTTTTATATTTTATTATTTTTGTTTTATGTGTACGTGTGTATTGCCTGAACGTAGGTAAGTGCACCTGTGTTGGGCAATGTCTGTGGAGGACAGAAGAGGCTGTTGGATGCCCTGGAAATGGAGTTATGGACAGTTGTTAGCTGCCATGTGGGTACTGGGATTCGAACCCAGATCTTCTGCAAGAATAGCCAGTGTTCTTAACCACTGAGCCATCTCTCCAGCCCCAAGAGATTGCTTTTTATCAAATTTATTATTATTTATTTATTTATTTTTGAAACAGGGTTTCGCTATGTAGCCCTGGCTGGCCTGGGATTCACTATGTAGACCATACTGACCTCCAACTCACAAGAAATCATCTGCCTGCCCTGCTTCCCAAGAACTGGAATTAAAGGTGTGCACGCCCACCCAAAAAAGAATAAGAAAAAAAGGTATGAGCCATCATGCCTGGCTTTTTTTTTTTTTTTTTTTTTTTTTTTGGTCTTTTTGAGACAGGTCTCAAAAAAATTACTTATATGTGTATGTGTCATATTAGTGCCTACATGCATGTAAGTGCACCCATGTCATGCAATGCCTGAAGAGTCAGAAGGCGGCATTGGATTCCCCTGGAACTAGAGTTACTCTCAGTTGTTAGCCATCAGGTAGGTGTTGGGAATTGAACCCGGGTCCTCTGCAAGAGCAGTGGACCATCTCTCCAGTGAGCCATCTCTCCAGACCGTTTCTTAAAATTTTGAGACAGGGCCTCATGTAGCCCAGGCTGGCTCCAATTTTGCTGTGTAGCTGATGATGACCATGAACTCTTGATCCTCCTGCCTCTATCTCCTGAGTGCTGGAACTTACTATCACACGTAGCTAAAAAATTGGTTTTATTATGGAACTAAAAATCTGGATGGTGGGGTTGGCGGCTACTGCTTTTCTTTTTCTTCTAAAAAATTTCTTAGGGGCTGGAGAGACAACTCAGTGGTTAAGAACAATGGATGTTCTTGCAGAAGACCAAGGTTCAAATCCCAACATGCACATGGCAGCTAACAACTGTCTGAATCTCCAGTTCCAGGGGATCCAATCTCCTCTTCTGTCCTCCGTGGGCACTGCATGACACGGGTGCATTTACCTACATGCAGACAATATATACATACACATAAAATTACAAAAATAATATTTTTTTTCTAAAAAATTTCTTTATTTATGGAGAGGGGGATGTGTGCCACAGCACATCTGTGGAGATCAGAGGACAAGCTGCGGGAGTCAGTTCTCTCCTTTTACAAGCATGTGGCACCTGGGACTCAGAGTAAACTCAGGTCTTCAGGCTTGGCAGCAAGTGCCTTTACCCAATGAGCCATTTTCACCCTCCCAATTTGTTAAAATTTATAACAAATAGTGAACATACTTTTGTGCAGTGATTCTATTTCTGGGAATCTCTTGTACAGTAATTACATAAGTGTACAAAGATGTATGTGCTTATTATGAGTAAGGAAAAGATAGAAACTCAAAGTCTTACAAAAATAAAAGAGAGAGACAAATTAAATTGTGAAAATTCTAGGTCAGTCAGAGGGCTCAGGAGCTAAAGGGGCTTGCCAACAAGTCTGGCAACCTCAGTTTGATCCTTGGGACACACAGGTGAAAGGAGAACCAGCTCTCCCAATATGACTTCTAAGCTCCACACCCACACACACGTGGCACACAAATGGCACCACCCCAATCCCACCACACACACACACACACACACACCCCAGTTTTTTTTTTTTTAAAGACAGAATCCCACTATGTGACTGTGGCTAGCCTGGAACTCATTATATATACCAGATTGGCCCCAAACTCACAGAGATCTATCTACCTGCCTCATCCTCAACTACACAATGAGCTGGAACCCAGCTTGAGCTACATAAATACCCTGCCTCAAAAAAATAAAAAACCAGCTTGGCATGTTGGCACAGGCCTTTAATTCCAGCACTTGGGAGGCAGAGACAGGCAGATCTCTCTGAGGTCAAGGCCAGACTAACAAGTTCTAGGTCAGCTGGGGCTACAGGGAGACCCAAATCTCAAAACAACAACAGTAAACAACAAAAAACAAAAACCCAAACCCAAAATAAAACAAAAAAGGTTCTGTAGAGAGATAGAGATGTAGCTCATTGGTAGAGTACTTGCTTGGTAGACTGCTTGAAACTTGGGTTCATATCCCAGTACCATATAACTAAGAAAAAACAAAAAAAAATCCTCCAGCTTCTACAGAGCTAAATATTTTTAAAAGTCAGACGTCGCCAGGCATGGTGGTGCACACCTTTAATCCCAGCATGAAGGAGGCAGAGGCAGGCAGATCTCTGTGAGTTCAAGGCCAGCCTGGTCTACACAGCGAGTTCCAGGCCAGCTGGGGCTACAGGGAGACCCTGTCTCAAAAAGACCAAAAAAGTCAGATGTTAGTCATACAATTAAAAACTAGAAGGGCAGAAAGGCAGGGTAGAGAGATGGTTAGGCGGTTAACAACACTTACTGTTCTTGTGGAGAACAGCACCCACATGGTGACTAACAACCATTCACAACTCCAGTTCCAAGGGATCCAGGACCCTCTTCTGGCCTCTGCAGGCATTGCAAGCATGTGGTGTACTTACATGCATGCAGGCAAAACACTCATACATATAAAATTAAAAAGAAAAAAAATCAAAACCTAGAAGGGTTAGGGTAGTGTGCTGTCTAGCATGTAGAGGCCCTAGGTTGGGTTTCTCAGCACAGCATACACTTGGCATGATGGCACATATCTGTAATCCCAGCACTCTGAAGGAGGAGGCAGAAGGGTTAGAAGTTCAAACTCAGCCTTGGCTATATATCAAATTCAGGACCAGCCTTGTATATACAAGAACCTGCTTATGCTGGGCATGGTGGCACACACCTTTAATCCCAGCACTTGGGAGGAAGAGGCAGGCTGATCTTTGTGAGTTCGAAGCCAGCCTGGTCTACATAGTGAGTTCCAGGACAGCTGGGGCTCAAGGAGACCCTATCTCAAAAAGACAGAAGGAAGGAAAAAAAAAAAAAAACCTGCTTAGAAACAAAACAAAACAAAACCATACAACACACACAAAAAACTGTTGTAAGCAACTGTGACAGGACACCAATGCCAGTATCATCTTAGTCATATGAGGCAAGGAAAGAGGAGGGTCCAGTTCTGAAGATTTTCAAGAACCAGAACTGGCCCAGCCTGAGGAGTTCATGAACCAGAAAGGGCAAGGCTGGGAAATAACTGTAAATGCCCAGGCATCCAGGAGCCTTGATTCTACGTCAGAAAGGCGCAGTCCTGGGCTCTCACCAGATACCATCTCTCCATCTTGAACAGTTTAGGTTCTGCTGAAGCAGAGAAGTGAACTAACCAGACACTGAGACAAACATGCAGATGCATATGCACACACATACACACACAGGTATGCTTCATGCAGACACTCGCAGAGACATGCAAACATGCAGATGCTGGCCAGCACACAGACTCAGAAGCACCAAAAGATTACATAAACACTTAACAGAGAGAGAGAGAGAGAGAGAGAGAGAGAGAGAGAGAGAGAGAACAAATTAGGAGGAGAACCAGGGGGAAAGGAAGGAAGGAAGATAAAGCAAGCCCATGCGTCCCCACTTGGGAACGTTCCTTTGGATATACATTCAGGTCTGTGTCTTACTCCAATCTCCCCTCAGTGGGAGATGGGGTAAATCATACCATATCAATTTCTGCAAAAGAAGGCTCATCCTGATCTCAGGGGATGTCATCAGACAATATGAGAGGTTACTGTTGCTGCCTGCCTGGGAGTCTTCCAGATACCAATGCCTGGTAACCAAGCCATATGAAGGGCAGATTCAAAGATCAGGTGCTAGGCACTCAGGGGTCAGGTGAGGGGTACTCACGGATAGCAGAGGAACAGGAGGTTCAGGAAGGAGTAGGTCCTGAAGAGGTGGATGAGGGATCGGCACAGACTCCAGCCTGTTGCCGTGAGAACGGTGAAGCGGGTGAGGAACAGCAGGATGGAGCGAAAGAGGGAGACCTTCCCCCTCTGAGAAGCCTGGGTCAGGGCGAGATAGGATGGGATGGGGCCTTGGATGGAGGCCACAGGAGCTATGCCCAAATTCCACCCAGTATGGTCTATGGTCCCACCCAGGGAAAGGTGCAGAGCAGGCTAGGCAGAAGATGGGAAGGTGAATTTCTCTCTGATGTCTAGTAAATTCTGAGAGCTAATGGAATGTTATTAATGTTCTTTAAATAAGTCCGAAAGAAGCACTAAGGAAATGCCTTAGGGTTGAAGGGTCAGTTGTGTCTCCTTGACATCCCAGGGGAAAAGGGGAATCCCAAAGACCCTGGCCAGCCTCGAGGACCCAATCACCTCCTTCACGATGGACCCAATGAAGCGGCGGCCCAGAACAATGGTAGTCACCATCAGCAAGTTGAAGTCGATCAGGTGGAAGTTCTGTCAGGGGCAGAGGCCTGGGAGTCACATGGGACCCTTGTCCATACACAGACTTTTCTGAGACCCATCACCTCCCTCTGCTCAGTCCTTTCCATAGAGACTGTCCCCATTCTCTGACCTTCATTGGCCTCCAGCTGAGTCAGGCCAGGAAATTACCTACAGGAGTAGAACAGGACCCAGAGAAGGGGAGTGGGACAGTCCCTGGGGATAAGAGAGCGGGGTGTGAGCACTCTCGCTCTCAACACCCATGTCCCTGTCCCTGAACCTCCTCTTCTGTTCAGGGTTCTTCCCACTTCAGGAGACTCATGTTCCTGTAACTCATCTCCCAGGCAAGACTTAGGACTATGAGTTCCTTTAGGCAAAACCTGTGTCAGATCCAACTCTGCTACCCTTACAATGTCCAGTATGGTCCTAAGCACAGTAGACATATTTAAGAATCAACAGCTTCCTATTCCTTCTATACCTATCATGCCCAAGATGAAGCCAAGTATACAGTGGCACTTGATAAAATATGTTAAACTGAAATCAAGCAACACACACACACACACACACACACACACACACACACACACAGAGCATAGCTGACTGACCACCTACCAGGGACGTATGAGAGGGTGGGTGAGAGGGTGGGTACCACCAGACTGTCTTGTAGATGTTGATGTAGTGGACGAACAAAGCTATGAGCTGGCAAAAGAAGAGCTGTAACTCAAACAGGATGCTGGCCTGGACTGGCAGCTCAGGGATCTTGCAGTGCTGCAGAGGCACAACTGTCTGAGTGGCCAGTGGAGGGCTGGAGAGGCCAGTCCCAGAACTGGTCCTGGAAGTGAGAAAGAAATAACATCAGAAGGTAACTTGAGAACCTCACCAGGAAAAACTTCTGGGCACAGAATTGTGGGATTACATCAGAAAAGCAGCTCATGACAGGGATGACACCTTTCTAATCGCCTGACTGACAAAAGCAGCAAAAAACCCTTCCTTTCCTAATTTTATTCAGGTCTTCCAATAATTCCCAGGAGAGAATTATTAGGCCTATTTTATGGATGAGGAAAAAGAGGTCCAGAGATAGGAAGCAACTTGTCCAAGCCAATCAAGAGCAGAATTGCAGCTGGAATCAAGGCCTGTGGTTTATTCTACCAAATCCCATTGTATCTAAGTGACCACCCTCAGTGAGCTTGCTCAGTCCTCTCTCAGTCCCACCTTGAATCTAGAAATACTACATCCTGGAATCTTGTAAGGGACTGCATGCTCCACTGTGCCACAAGAAGAGGTAAGATACAGAGGTGGCTTACCTGGTACGAGAACGGACGCTGGTCACTGATGCACTGTTGGTGTGGCCTCCACCAGAGCCCCCCGAGGATCCTGGCTCACAGAGAGGATTTCGACAGTAAGATGTCCTGTTGGGACCTCTTCGTCCTCCTGTGGGGCTCAACATAAAGCAGAGGCTCAAGCTAGAGGGTATATATACATATATACTATAGTGTATATATATACACACACATATATATATACACACACACATATACATACATACACACAGTCACACACACACACACATATATCAAGGATGACAGCAATGCTATTTTGGTTACCTGGCATTTCATTTTCCCATTCAAGCCTCACAGAAGCCTATAAAGGGGCCTCACTGCCTCATGTCCCATGGTTATCTTGGTCTTTGCACAGTAAGTTAAACTTATCTTTACTTATATTTTCTGTACCTTTGTCTGGAGTATCTTCCCTGACCACTCTTTTCTTCTTCTTCTTCTTCTAGTGGTAATTTTCAATATTCAATTTTTAATTTTCTTTTTTTTAAAAAATTTTTTATTATTTTGGGCCGGGTGTGGTGGCACACGCCTTTAATCCCAGCACTTGGGAGGCAGAGGCAGGCAGATCTTTGTGAGTTCGAGGCCAGCCTGGTCTACATAGTGAGTTCCAGGACAACTGGGGCTACAGGGGAGACCCTGTCTCAAAAAGACAAAAAAAATTTTTATTTTTTTTATTTTATGTGTATGTGTGTATTGCCTGCATGGAGGTAAGTACCTGTGTTGTGCAATGCCCAAGGAGGTCAGAAGAGGCTGTTGGATCCCCTGGGACTGGAGTTATAGACAGTTGTTAGCTGCCATGTGGGTGCTGGGATTTGAACCCGGGACTTCTGCAAGAACAACCAGTGTTCTTAACAGCTGAGTCATCTCTCCAGCCCCTAATTTTCTTTTTTTGACATTAAGATTTCACTATGCAGTCCTGGCTGGCCTGGAACTTGCTATGTAGACTAACTCAGAGATCTGCCTGCCTTTGCTTCACAAGTCTTAGGATCAAAGGTGTGCACCATCATGCTGGGTATGATTTTCAATTTTATTTAGTAATTCTTCGAGTGCGCGCGTGTGTATATGTGTGTGTGTGTGTGTGTGTGTGTGTGTGTGTGTGTGTGTGTGTGTAGGTCAGAAGACAACTTCTGGGAAGGAATTAGTTCTCTCCTTCCATCTGGGGATTGAACTCAGGTCATCGGGTCTGCACAGTGCTTTTACCTGCTGAACCATCCATCATACAGCCCCCTTTTTTTCTTTGTGTCTGTGTATATGTGTCCAAGTACATGTGTGGTATGTGTATGGAAGCCAGAGGTCAACTTTGGGAGTTATGCCTCAGGAGCTGCCACTTTGTTGTTTTGCTATTGTTCCTGTTATTTTGTAACAGGGTCTCTCATTGGTCTGGGACTCACCAATTAGGTAAGGCTGGAATCTGCCTGTCTCAAACTGCCCAGTGCTGGGATTGCAAGCATTTGCCACCAGGCCCAGCTTTTTTATATGGGTTCTGGGGATCCAAGTTAGGTCCTCATGCTTGCATGGTGAGAACTTGACCAACTGAGCTATCTTCCAAGCCCATCTTTGATATTAAAAACAATTTTTTTTTTTGAGCAGGGTCTCACTATGTAGCCCTGGCTAGCCTTGAACTCAAGAGCTCCACCTGCCTCTGTCCCCCAAGTACTAGGATTAATCTTTTTGATCTTTCATTCTTTATTTTCTTAATTTTTATTTTATGTGTATGAGTGTTTTATGTCAGATCCCCTAGAACTTGAATTCAGGAGGGTTATTAGCCATCATGTGGGTGCTGGGACAGTACTAAACCTGGGTCCTCCACAAGGCAGTCAATAATCTGAACTGCTGAGCTAGCTCTCCAGCCTTTGATTTTTCATTTTTCATTTAATGTTTCCAGTGCTGGATATGGAATCCAGGGCCTTGCTAAGTACATGCTCCACCACTGAGCTATACCACCAGCCCCATGGGTGCTGTGTGCATGTGTATGCACGTTCGGTTGTAGGTGAGCGGATGTGCGTGTGTGTGTGTGTGTGTGTGTGTGTGTGTGTTCGCATGCGCCACCTGTGGGAAGCCAAAAGTTGATGTCCACTGTCTTCCTTTCCACTGAGGCAAGTTCTCTCAATGAACTCAAGAGTTCACCATTTTGGCTAGTCCAGCCAGCTTCCCCAAGGATCCTGTTTCTGCCTCCCAAGTGCTGGCATTACACGGAGGGCTCCGTTCCTGCTCAGCCAACTTTCAGGACAGTTCTAAGGATCACAACTCTAGTCCTCATGCTTGAACAAGTATTTTACCCCTGAGCCATCTGTCTAGTCCCCCTCAATGCCATTTCTAAGGAGCCACCCTATCTCTACCCTATCTGTATTGTTTTTCACAATTCAGTCTCTGAAATTATTATTTTGTTAACGTTTGTCACTAAAATGGAAGGTGATATCAGTAACTTTCTTAAGCGTCTCTCTATGTAGCCCAGGCTAGCCTCAAACACACACTCCACCTGCCTCAGCATGCTAGGATTATAGACATGCACCACCATGCCCAGCTTGAGTCTGTCTTTTTCACCGATGTTTCTTTTACCCTGGGGGCCAAGAAGCACATGTTGGTAAGTGAATGAGACAAGCAAGCAAGGATTTTCAGGTGAATACACCGAGCTTACATTTTGTCAGTGATAGTAGTAGCAGGTTCAAGTCCTGAGCTCTCAGCTCCGGCATATGCTGGAGGGATTTGAGTTTCTAGAAGTTGATAATTCTGGTCAGCTTTGAGAGAACGTTTTCCTTCAGCACCCTGAGATCTAGTCAGTGGGCATGGTAGTGTCTGTCTCATGGGCAGGACCTAAGGCATGAGCCAGTGTCAAGGACCACCTCTGGAAGAGTGCTGTGGTTTGTGGACCCAAAACTTAGATTTACAAGCTATATCCCTAAGGTTAGAGGTCTAGCCCAGAATCCAGCGCACCATACTGCACTCAGCTCCTCAACACTTTATCAGTTTGTCTGAACTCCTCAGTAGCATGGTAGCCTCCACTCACACATGTAGTGCCGGGGTTGCCCCAGCCCAGAGGGTTTTCTAACACAACTGCTGCAAAAACGCGCTAGTCCAAGAGCTCTGACCACAACACGCGCCCGGACCGGAAGCTTTGCTCACGCACTATTTGGCTGGGAAAACCCTACATAAACCCTCACACATAATGCCCCTCGGCCCAGAAACCCCGCCTACACTCAACTGTCAGCCAAAAGGCCCCGCCCACAAGCCAGAGAACGCACCCTGGGCCCAGAAGCCAGGTCCAGAACCAGATCCCGCCCGCTGCACCAGGTCCAGAAGCTGCGCTCCCACGCCCCAGAAGCTCCACCCGAAGCCCATCCCCCACGAGCCCGGCCCCCGGAGCCTGGGGGGCCTCACGGCGGCCCGAACCCCCGTGAGCCCACACGGGTCCGGAAGCCCTGCCCACCACCCGAACGGCCGCCAGCACATACTGGCCCCTCCCCGTAGGACCGGAGGAGGCGGGGCCTCGGCTGCGCCGCATCCCTTCCCCCCACATCCCCCCCTCCCGCCCGCCCGCTCCGGTCAGCGTGCAGCGGCGTCACCGTTCGGCCACCCTGACCCGGTGCCCGCCGGTGCCCGGGCTAAGCTTGCCCAGCTCTGCTCACCCATCTCCTTCCCCCCGGCGCTCTCCGCTCGCCGCCGCAGCTCCTGCGGGCAATATGTCTGAGGCGACGGCGGCCGGGAGAGGACTAACCGCCGCAGCCCAGTCAGGGGGTAGCAGCCGCGCGCCCCCGCCCCGCCGCTTCATTTGCATACAAGGCGGGCTGGGAGCCGGGAGCGCGCTTTCTTAAAGGGGCCACGCGGACAAAGGCGCTGTGCTCTTTGTTTCCTCCCAGCCTTTCTGGCAGCTGCTGGCTGGAGAGGGGACACCAGAGCGATGAAGTCCTAATCTTTGAGCAGCCCATAGTCACCCCAAACTCAATGCGTCCCATGTTGGGCTTTCGTCTTCCTTAGATGTTACTGTGCTTGTTCCATCCTTTTTCCTCCATCCCTGCATCCAGTCTTGGACCTGGTCTTCCCACCCTAAGCTCTTAAGTATTTCAAACACTTGACTCTCCTCCATTCTTCCTGCCAGTTTATGCTTCTTGAGTTTTAACAATATTCACCTCTTAAGGGTTTTAACATTTTTATCTTTAAACGGGGGAAGGGGGAGCGTGTGGAAGTGGAGCTCAGAGGACAACCTGTGGGAGTCGGGATCTCTCCACCCCATGCGTACCCAGGATAGACTTCAAGTTGTCAGGTGTGGTCCTAAGTGCCTTTACCCTCTGAGGCATCTCTCCAGCCCTTTGATTTTATTTTTTAAGAGAAAGTCTCATGTAGCCTAGACTGGACTTGTGACCTTGAACTTCTGATCCTCCTCCACCTCTATGCAGTGTTGAGATTCTAGGCAAGCCCTACTTGACTGGTTTATGTTGTGCTGTGACTCTAATCTAATGTTACAGTTCACCTTGTAGGTCTTGAGGCTTGAATCAGTGTTAGCCATCATTGTTTTTGTTTTGCTTGAGATAGAGTCTTTATAGCATTAGTTGGCCTGGCATGCACCCTGTAGACCAGGCTAGCCTCAAACTCACAGAGATCCGCCTGCCCCTGTCTCACAAGTGCAGGACTAAGGGCGTGTGTAAGCCATCCCTGTTGAGCCACTTGTTATGTGTGGCAAGCACTCAGCAGAGCAGCTACTAGTAGTGTCTTTTGGGGAGGGGTGGTGATGGGACTTGAACCTCCAGCATGCTAGACAGGCACTCTACCACTGAGCTATATTCCCAGCCATTTACAAAAAAAAATCTTTTTTCTTAAGATAGTCTTACTATGTAGCTCTGGATGGCCTGGAACTGACTTGAGATCTTCCACCTGTCTCTGCCTCCCAAGTGTGCTCAGACTAAAAGCATGCTTCACTACCCCTGGCCCCTATAAATTTTTTTTTTTTTTTTTTTTTTTTTTTTTTTTTTTTTTTGTCTTTTTGAGACAGGGTCTCCCTGTAGCCTGAGCTGTCCTGGAACTATGTAGACCAGGCTGGCCTTGAATTCAGAGGGATCGCCTGCCTCTGCCTCCCAAGTGCTGGGACTACAGGCGTGCACCACAATGCCTGGTTTAAACATTTTATTAGGTGTATTTGTGTATGTCACATGCCATGATATGTGTGTGTGTGTCTGTGTGTGTGGTCAGATGCCAACTTTCTGGAGCTGGTTCTCTCCTTCCACTATGTGTATCTTGGGGATTGAACTCAGAGCTTCAGGCTTGGTGGCAGGAACCTTTACCACTGACCGTCTTGCTGGCCCCCTTATAAACACTCTATCTTTGGGGGCGTAGTGCATGCCTTTAATCCCAGCGCTAGGGAGGCAGAGGCAGGCCAGTCTGGTCTGCATAGGGAATCCAGGCCAGCTGGGGCTACAGGGAGACTCTGTCTCTAAAAAACCAAAACAAAAAAACAAAACTTGTTTTGTGGCTGCATTGCTTAGCACGGTGCTTGGCACACAGATTTCAATATTAATCAAGTTAATTAGAAGATATTAATAGGTCTCCACAGAGCTTAAAATTATGTGGGGATAGATCTAAAATTATAAATCCTGAAGTTCATTAGAAGGGACGGATGGTGCAGTGGAAAAATAGGAAAGATGTGAGAGTGCAAGTTTAAATGGGGTGGACAAGAGCAGGCTTCACAGAGGGAAATAAGTCAGTCACACAAGGTATCTGGGGACAAGTAGACATTCTAGACAGGCAAGGCATTCAGGTGCACATACGCCTGTTGTGTTTAAGAAATAAGGCAGGTGGGGTGGTGCAGTTTTAGTCCCAGCACTAGGCGGGAGGCAAATGGATTTCTATAAGATGGAAGTCTGTCTGATCTACATAGTTCCAGGCCAGCTGTAGCTTCAGTGAGACCCCTGTCTCAAAAGACTAAAATGCAAAACAAAAACACCAAAATAAAAAACTGCCTATGGTAGCTTACACTTGCAATCCTAGCACTTGGGAGGAAGAGATAGGAGCATCTTGGCAAATTGGAGGCCAGCCAGGGCTACATGGTGAGATCTCATCTCTAACAAATAGAAAACCTGAAAAATAACAAGGAGCCTACTGTGGTTTGTATAGAGTTGTGTAGTTTTTACTTGAACTGTCCTGCCCCAACCCCCCACCCCCCGTGTTAGGGATCCAATCCAGTCTGGTGTCTGTTACGCAAGTGCTTTATCACTGAGCTACCTGCTAGCTCCTGAAATTCCTTTTTGTCCTTAAGATCGTCTGGTTTTTTAGCCCAACTCAAGCTTCCTAGATAGATAGGAATACATAAGGTACCACTGTGCCTTGCTGAACTTCCATTTTAAAGAACCACGCTACTTTGAGAATAACTGCAGCAGGAGTGGAAGCAAGATAATCAGACAGGAGTTGTGGCCATGGTCTTAGCAAGAGATCTTGATTGCCACGTTAGGGGAGGTGGTGAGGCATGGCTGGGTTCTGGACTTGAAGGTAAAATCAGTTGAATTTGCTGACAGGAGTAAGATGAGATTAAGGATGACTCCACAATGATCATCCTGGACAAATGGGATGTAGCTTAGTGGTAGAATGCTTGTCTAACATTCTCAAGGACCCTGGTTTGACTCTTAACAGCACACATTTTTTTTCCCAACCCAATGAGTTTCATTAGCATTGCTTAGTGTATGAGTTATTTACTGGCTTACGGGCAATGTACTAGTGGCTCCACCCCTAAAGACACTTTTCTTTTAGACAAGGTCCCCCGGTAGCTCCAGCTGACCTGGAACTGTAGAGACCAGTCTAGCCTCCTCACCTGGCTTTTCTCACATTTGAACAAAATGTGTTTTAGTAGATTCCAAGATAGGGTCTCTCTGTAGCCCCAGGCTGGCCTCAATCTCAGAGATATCTGCTTGTCTCTGACTCAGGAGTGCTGAGATTAAAGGTGTATGCCACCATGCCAGGCCAAAAATTGAGATTTTTAAAAATATCTTTATGTGTATGAGTGTATTGCCTGTGTGTCATGCAATGCTAGGGAGATCAGAAGAGGGTTTCAGCTTCCCCTGGAACTGGAATTAAGGATGGTTCGTAGCCACCATATGGGTGCTGGGAATTGAACCCAGGTCCTCTGCAAGAGCAGTCAGTGCTCTTAACCGCTGAGCCATCTCTCCAGCCCCAAATTTTGGCAGATTTTATGCCAAGTCATTTCTTTTCATGGGGGGTCAGGGAGACACTGGGTCAGTAAGCAGAATAGATTCAAGTAGACTTTTCCCTTTTTGTCCTTTGAGACAGGGCTCCCAGTAGTTCCTGCTGGCCTGCACCTCTTTATGTAGACCAGGCTAGCCCACGGAGTGTTGGGATTAAAGGTGTGTCACCACACCCAGCAGGGCAAAGAAGTTCTTGAAAGGCAGGCAGATCAGGAAGACAGTTTCAGTTGATTGGCCTTTTGGCCAAGTTCAAGTGTAGTAGCTGCTAATATTAGATATATCCTTTGTTAAGGGCAATATATTCACTGATCTTTGGAACAGGAAAACTGAATAGTTCCTGCTACCCACTCCATCCCACACCCACCTAGTACTGCAGTATCTCTAGGAATGGCACACATTCAAAGTGGACTTACTGAAAGTTATTTCAGGAATGTTCCAATGAAGACTGAAGCCAGTCCTTTCTTGGGAATACATTTAAATCCAATGACGTTTTTAGTTACTACTATATCCCGAGGCTACAGAGATGAATGGCAATTTGTAATCCTTAGTGGGGAGACAGACCCACCAATTAATTATTGAACTGTGTACTAAGTTTAGAGATAGGCAGAGGAGTGTGAAAAGGAAGCTTCACAGGAGGTATCAAGACCTGGTTTCTGAAGATTTGGGTCCACTGCTTGATTTGCCGTGCATGAGGCTCTGGGAATGTCACTAGCACTGCCAAAAGGTTAAAAAAAAATAAAGCCAGGCATGGGGGCAAACTCCTTTAATCCCAGCACTCAGGAGGCAGACAAGGCAGATTTCTAGAGTTCAATGCCAGCTGTCCACTTGTACTTTGGCAACTTTCTTGAACTTCCAGGGGGCAAATGGCTCCCTGGAAAAAAAATCAAAGCACTCCAGCTACTCCAGACTAGTGATTGGCTGGAGCTGAGGGAGGAGGAATTAGTGATTCAAATAAAATGGAATGTGTTCTAGTATCCATGCTAGAACTATCAGGGAAAGAAACTTGTGTTCTCCCTCTGAGATGGCTTATCAAATTTAAGACTTAAGCCTTTGAAAAAATGTCACCTAAATTCACCCAAGCGATTTGCTCTGCCAGAAATACTTACATTTGATTGTCAATACAAGAGCTTGTAAGAGCATCCAAGAGTCTTTATGTTCTAATCTCCTGGGCCACTTTTACTCCACTTAGGCATTAGTCCCTCCACACAGCCTCATACCTCAAGGCTACTCACATTCTTGTCAAGCTTTATCTACCCTATCTATTGCATATCCATTACAGAGGCCAAGCAAGCTATAGGAAATCTGGAAAATACTGATTATAAAACTTGTATTGGTAGCAATGTACTTGCAAACGGGAAGATAGAAGAGCACAAAGGTCCAGAGGTAGGGTTTGTTCCACAAGAATGAGTCCATTGGCTCGACAATTGTGATGCTTAGTTCTGTCAACCCGAACAATCTAGAATCACCAGGGGATGAGTCTCAAGGAGAGATCAGGTTGACCTGTGCTCTTAATTATGCCAGTCAATATGGGAGGACCACCAATGCAGCTGCATTCCCTTGGGGTTGTGGA